TTACCTGACAAGACACATTGTTGTCAGGGTATGAGTTGCTATCGACTTGCAGCACTTCCTTAGAGCCTGACATCAGGTGACGATTATTGCTCCACAATAATTGAGGCAACATGGCCAAAATTGCGACGTAGGATATGATGATAACTTGTTACAGAATAGCTGGCAGGCTGTTTTGCACTGAACTGACAAGGAACAAAAAGTCTGTCAAAGCATTATCAGACAGTCTGACGCGGGGTGTTGTCGTCCACAGAGGAAAAGCCCTGGAATGGAGGGAAACCGAAGGGTCGAAAGGGTCCTGGCAGACAATGGACAGCCAGTTAGTGTAGGCAGGCCAAAGTGAAAAAACAAAACTCATTCCTGTATGTCACCGGTAAACGAACAACTCCTCGTGCTGCTGTACAACATCTGTAAACAAAAAAGCTTCCTTTATCTCCGAGGAGTTTAACATATGCTCCTCGTCATTGTTTGCAATGATTTACTGTCATCTGATTTTTCTGTAATTTCCTTCCCCCGCAACCATCTCTCAGGAAATGTGCAGGAAAAGATGTGACGTGGTACAAGAGAAGCTTCATACACACGGCATTGGTTCATTTCTGTCGTAAGGTTTTCCCTGCTTGCAGCATTGCAGCAGTAAGTTTTTTAGAGGAAGCTGAAAGTGTGTGCATACAACACAAAGTTTATCTAGTTGGCAGCATTTAGGATTTATGCCAGGTGCTAAAAGTGAGGGTTATTTTTAGACTTTATTCTCTTCTGTTTGCCAAAAAATAATTTCCAGTCATTCACAAGTTTTTAAAGTAAACAAATATATTTACACAAAAAGTGTACATTTATATGCAGTAGAATAACCCTGTTTGTCCTCGTATGGGTTTTATTGTTATGAAATTACCAATAACCAGTGTCCGTTTTCATAAAGTCCAGTTCGGAAGTTGTGCATCCTGCTTTTGAAGTGCTTGCCCTTACTTAGCTAGACACTTCATCTTTATTCTTTTATTTTTTTTTTAATCTTTTCAAATCTACAACTTTCTCTCACTTTCAGGGTACAAAAGTAAGATTTCTGCTGGTTAGAAGATTTTTAAAATGTCAGCATATGTACATGTTTGATACAGAACAAAACACCCTGACAGTCAAGGACAAATATGACTACATCAGTTACTGACACCTGAGCATGATGCACCTGTGTCCTCTGGAAACACACTTCCATTCTGAGTGTCTTGTGAAAAAAGATGCTATCTTTGCCCAACTGTGAAAAACAAACTCAAACTTGCTTCTCTCCCACGCATCAAACAAGTTTAACCCACAACAGAATAACAGATGAGCCTTCAGAGAAACATCTGACAAAGTTGAGTCAGGTCCTCTGGACAGATTCTTCTTTGTTGAAACGTTTCGTCTTTTATCCAAAAGACTTCTTCAGTTTGAGGAGCTGCAACAAACTCAGTCTTATAAATAGCACCTTCTCGTAATGGATCAGTTTGTTGGTGATAGCCAAACCTAGTTGTTCACATGCCATGTAGAAGGAGAACCATCAACCTAACGGCTGATCGTTAGTGCCCTGATGGCCGCTTGCTATTCACAGAGGGCTGTGATACTTTCAATAACAACATAGTAAAAGGGCGACAGTTGAACACGCAGGCCTCCACCCCTGTTTAACAATGGAAGAGTTCTCTTCAAAAAGATGGCTTCTTTTACTCCTCTCAAACCATTGTTCCTCTCTATCAAGGATGTGCCCATCTTCACCCCTGAAAGAGTGACCTCTGGCCTGCTGATGAGTTTAGACCGCAGAGTCCTGGCCTGATGATGTTGCTCCTTTGTGCTGGGCCATCCCTTTGCCCAGTGGCTGTTTAGTTTCCCCAATGTAAATCGAATGCTGTTATTGCAAGTATCACTCAGCCCTCTGTGAATAGAATGCAGCCATCAGGGCACTAACAATCGATTGTAGGCTGATGGTCCTCTCTTTGCATGTGAGCCACTAATTTCAGCTCTTACCAGCAAACTGGTTGATCCAATATGAGACTGAGGACCTACTCAAGCTTGTTAGATTTATCTACCAGGATTATTCAGCATGCATTAGGACACCTCAGAGAAGCAGTTACCCTCAATAACAGCCCTCATATCTTATTTATTTGAAGCTGTACAGGCAAATCTAAACTTCCCATTATTACCTTGTTGCAGATTGAGCATCTAGTCAAATGCTATGGCGCTACTTTTTTTTTAATGCAAAGTGATCATGTGACCATAGCCAAAAGCTGTATCTGAAAACCCCTGACATGTACACTGATAAGGTTTTTACCTACTAAGAGAGATACAATATAAACTGTTATCTCTTTGTTCTCATTTGGAACTAAAATATGCCTTTTCTTTATTCAGAAATGACCTCTAGCCTTTGTTTGGAATGTAGTAAGTTATTTCTAACTGGGCCAATCTAATCTAACGAGGTTAAGTCAGGTCCTCTGGATGGATTCTTGTTGAAATGTAACAAGAAGAATCCATCCAGAGGACCTGACTTAACCTTGTTGGATTTTTCTACCTGCATTACTGATCATGCATTGGGACATCTGGGCCATGATTCATCATGGAGCTTGCATATGCATGATCAGTGCTTTGTACATGTTATACTTTAAATATGTTGGTCTAGAATTTGTCTGCCATGTTTGCACATTTTGAACCAGCAAAGAATGTTACTGCTTGCGTGTCCTTTGAAGTTTTAGCAACTTTTTTTCTTCGATATCTATCTTGTTTTTGGTCTCTTTTGATTTGGCACTGTTGCAACGACGTGTAACTAGCATGTGCGCAATCCCTAACCTCTGCCTACAGACATCAGCTCTTAACACCCTGTCTGGAGTCTGTAGTTATGCACAGTGGTGTGACTAATAACAGGGTCTACCTGGAAGCAATTTGATGTCGGACTCTCGGCTCTACTGTGAAATTTGTCTGCTCTCCTTGAGTCAGAGGCACCTTTCAGTAACTGTCTATCTGTGGCGAAGCACATCTATGTTCCCCACTCAGATAACAAACACATCCACCATCCTCCCAGTGCTGTCTTGGAGGCTCCACCCTACCTCACTGTATAATTTCACACAGCTGTCTTGACTGTGCAAGCAATAGCCTTGCAAACGTAATCAGAAATTGGGTCTCAGTTTAAATATGCTCACCTTTCAGTCTGGTTACTCTTACATTTAATTTTTACTCTATCAGTTAGGCTATACACCAACATGATTGCAATGTAGTCATATCCAGACACCCTAGATGGAACGCTAAAGCTTTAAGTTGCCTGAGCTGTTGAAAACAGTGATGACCTTAGCACTTAATTTTACTGCTTGCTACACACATTTTCTACAACTCTTAGCATGCCAGTCTGCCAAGTGGAAATTCTTGTCCAGTTGAACTTAGACCACAAGAGTTTGGCATCGAGGCCTCACCGCCCGGAACAAGCTCTGGGTAATTTCCTTTACTGTGTGGAGACTAGGTTAGAAAGGTCCCATACAATGTCAGGATGTTGACTGTGTACAGATTAAAAGAATTCCCCTTTGTAAGTCGTCATTTATGAGTGTTCGTGTCTGACATGTTGCTTTTGAACAGAATGGAAATGCAGAGAATTGCTGCAAGTCTTTTATAGCGATCAACCAATTGGGGTTTTTCATGATACCAACTTTTAAGATATCAGGGCTACCTAATACAGACTTTTGAAGTTGAGTAGTTTAATATCTGCCCAATGTTACAACGAAACTGGTGACTGAAGAAATTTTCACCATTGACATGTCAATAGTAAAAATAGCACAGGGTTTAGAAGCAGTTGATTAAAATGACTTGGATGCTAGGGGGTTTAAATAACTCTTTAGTCTTATTAGACACCCTGCTGTTTGTATTTGCAGTCCTTAAGACTTCACAGGCCACAAGTGATGTCTTTGAGACAATGACTTTGCCTTGAAACCACACAGTAAACCCATTTAATTAGTGAAAAATAAGAGTAAAGCATAGTTGGCTTAAAATTATAGTTGATGTTCTTTAGGATCTGCTGTTCTAGTTCTGAAAAGGCTACAATAGCACCTTAAGTAAGTTAATTGACACAAGCATAAAGTATGCTCTGGCAACGTTCATGCAATTGTATTTTATGGCAAAAAATTGCTTAATTAATTGGTCTACTGATCAGTTATCCTCCTAGTTTTTTTTAATAAGCCTATGGTTGATCAAATCCTGAAACAAGTTTTCAGTCATCCCCACACGATTCATACGGTCAACTTGGGGTTCTTGAGAGCAATGAGATTTAGAAGCTAAGTGAAGTTCAGTGTTTGTACAGAAAAATGAACACTATACAGCTTTGGTGGAAACTTAATGAAGTCTGAACTTGGGCTGCTGCCGTGCAGACAAGCCTCAGGTGTCGGAGCGGTCAGGGTGATTAGCGCAATGTGATTAGCAACAAAGAAATGCCACTAAACCTTTTTGCCCCCACAGAGTACAAAGCAAGTATAGTTTGTAGCTGATTTCACTGTTGGCTCAGAATACAATACAATATTTTTAGTTTCCATTGGATTTGTAGGTCTGTGTCAAAAGTTTTTTATCCAACTTGGTTTTTAATCCCAGCACACCATTACTGTTTTAGTTTCCTTGGCACCTATGCTTAATCCTCAACCATGTATTGTGATTTGAAGTGCGGGGTGTTGGAAGAACTGTGATGTGGAAAAAGCCTGATATTTAGTCCCTCGTTGTGTTTTGACATAGCTTATAATAAATACTAAATGGTGTTTGATGTTTTTCTCTGATTGAGGTTTTGAACAGTAGTTCTATATTATTTATATTTTCTTTCTTCCGTTAAGAGTTCTTCCAGATCAGTGGAAAACTGTGAATATAATTCCACAAAGGTTTGTGTTAAACCTTTGACATCAGTTTTGATTTCCATTTAAACCATTTTGTACCTCCCAATTCAGGATGCTAGCTAGCCTTCGCTTTGCTTGACATGTTAGCAGTGGAGTCCTTAACGCTTCTCTTTGCTTTGCTTTCTTTAGGAATTGGGAAGGTGAAGAGCAGAAAGGGAGGCATGAGAGATGCCGCCTCCAACGCAGAAACAGATCTGAGTACAGATAATGGGGAGAGGCTGTATGACCTCAACGTGCCCGCTCTGGTGAAGTTCAGCTACACAGCGGAGCGGGAGGACGAGCTGTCGCTGGTGAAGGGCACGCAAGTGGTGGTGATGGAGAAGTGCAGTGACGGCTGGTGGCGCGGCAGCTACAGCGGACGGTCTGGCTGGTTTCCCTCCAATTACGTGACCGAGGATGTGGTTGGGATGGCGGGGGGAGGGGGCATGAGTGGACTCGGAGACCCAACTGGATCGCTGACGGATTCGCTAGCTGCCATTGTGAACAGCACGGCTAACGGAAACAGAGTGCTGCACACAGTTCAGGCGCTCTATCCGTTCAGCTCTAGCAACGACGAGGAGCTGAACTTTGAGCGGGGCGAGGTGATGACGGTCGTGGAGAAGCCCGAGAACGACCCGGAGTGGTGGAAGTGCCGCAAAGCGGACGGACAGCTGGGCTTGGTGCCCAAGAACTACGTCAACGTGTTGGACTCCAGCTCCCATAAATCCACAGCAGGACTGGCTGGGCCACCTACACCCGACTGCGACTACATCTCGCCTTCGGGAAGTGGACGCTTCGCGGGGAAGGAGTGGTACTACGGAAAGGTGACCCGACACCAGGCAGAGGTGGCCCTAAATCAGAGAGGCACAGAGGGAGACTTCCTTATCCGAGACAGCGAGTCATCGGTGAGTCACCAAGACCTGCTTCTGCAACGACTGTTCATCTCAGCCCTAGTCTTTAGCTGCTCTCAGATTCTGCCACTAACCTCCAAATTGTTCTTTTTTTTCCCCCCCAGCCAAATGACTTCTCCATCTCCTTGAAGGCGCAGAGCAAGAACAAGCATTTCAAAGTTCAGCTGAAGGAAAGCCTTTACTGCATCGGACAGCGCAAATTCAACTCTATGGAGGAGCTTGTTGAACACTACAAAAAGGCTCCCATCTTCACCAGCGAGCAGGGAGACAAACTGTACCTGATCAAGGCCCTGGCCGCCTCCTGATCCACCGCTCTTAAACACACACACACACACACACACCTACACACACTCACAGCCTTCCACATCAGTGGCTTAACACAGATACTTGTGCCAGAACACACACACTAACATACTTAACGCATCATGACTTAAACGGCCACTTTGTGAGCATTCCAAGAGGAAGTTGGGGGGGAGCCTGGGAGAGACATGAAGGGGGGGGGGGGGGGAATACAAAAGACTATGGACCCCTAAGAGTTTGACTACAGACCTCTTGGTCACATTTTAAATTATCCTCGTGTTAGGTCTTGTATTTCACCATATCTATTAGAGTTTCATTTAGTTCTTTTTTTTAATATATAATCTTTTTTTTTAAAAATGTGATTTTATTTTATTTTTTCTAATTACACCACACACACACACACAACATGGAGGTATTTTCGAAACATGTCGGCAGGTGAACATTTCAGCGTACTCTTTGCGTTAAAGCTTTCTACATCTACGACCTCTGCTAATTACAGATACAAAATAAGTGACCAAACATATTTATTCACATTTCTGCTAGGATTAATGTTAAAATTAAAATTTCACACTGTGCATTTGTTTTTTGTTTTTTTAATCCTTGTGCAAAATCAAACTATATAACAATCGGTTTATGTTTTGTACCAAAAAAAACAACAAACCCTGCTTGTTTCTCATATTGCTGTATCCACATCATGTGAATGTTTTTGAAGCTGAGGCAGCACAGACAGAAGCTCTGAATTCATAACTTTGCATGTTGTGCACACAAATGTAATATTCAAACATCAACCTTGCGTCTTTCAAAGGAGAGATCAACTATCCACAGACACGGTTGGAGTCCATCTGTGCATCTTGTGAGGCGCTTTTAAGGGGACAGCTTTCAGAATGGAGGAAGGTGAAGTGACGGTGGGAAACATAAAACGGCAAGTTCAACGGAGTTTGGAGGGGAAGTCGAGGGCCGGTCAACATGGTTCAGTTCGGGGGATGATGTCACCACTCCTGAATTAGAGATTACTGGAGGAGACGAGGGTCACCAAAGGGTCAAGTTGGCGCGGTTGCAAAGCATACACATCATGCACCCTCTTGAAGCAGAAGCGAAGAATGAACAAGGTTCAGCTTGGATAAGAAAAAAGCAGCTTGAAACGCTTTTGCTTGATATTTGTGCACCTTTTTCAAAAGCACAGGAAGGCTCAGACGTCTGTTTTACATGTGCAGCTTTGTGAAAATAACGTGAATGTTTTCAGCTGCGCACATGGTTTATATTTACAGCAAAGGTCTGGAGTGGATGGGCTTTTGACTGGTAGAGGACTCGGTAGTGAATGGCAGCAATCAGAGCTGCTGCAACTCTGGCAAGGAGCCGCTCCAGCAGCAGGAGGAGGAGGAGGAGGAGGATCACGATGCTTGCGATGACTTTTCCAGCTGTGGCCAACCGGACCAGAACAGAAAAAGAGCGAGGAAAAGGAAACGAGGACTTGCATACAAGTGGAACATGCCGAGTATCTGGAACGCCACGCCCAGTCAGTCATTAGCGATGTAAGATTTGAGATGGGAGTATTTGACAGCACTTTAAGGTCTAGTAAATACAAGCATGACAAAACAACAAAAAATCCTGCCACAAAGGAAACAAAACACCTGTATACCTTTTTATTTTTCCTTTCATGACCCAGGTGATTGACAAAACATGATAAAATATAGGGATGCACGATATTATCAGCATGGTATTGACCGATATTAGCGATAAAATTGAATATCGGACATCGACAATATATATATATATATATATATATATATATATATATATAT